CTAATTACTCTTCCATCTTCTAATTACTCAACGCTTGGCAGTGCCTACATTTATGCCACAGAAAATAGTCACACTTAAAGCTTTTTAATGAAGGGAACAAAATGCAGGAAGGGGACATAATTCAGTCAAGTGTGGCTAAATGAGATTGAACAAAAAAACACTGCTACTTCCTGCCAAAAACAGGATACTGCTTTAGCGGTGATAGTAAAAGAAAGGAGCCTCAATTACTCACTCCTCATCTGAGGTTTTAGTGTTTACTTAAGAAAGTGGCGTACTCTGGGGATGCAGAGGACTGAATGGGGAGAGAAAAGGTTTTCACTACATGCACACGTTTTTCATTACTAATAAAATGCTCTAGTGCTCGTAGAAGAAAATTAGCTGATGAAATTTGTGTTTACAAGATTATAATGCCATTAATTCAACACAACGTGTTCATGTTGCAGATTTCTTGTTGGGAAGAGGGGGTTATTTTGTTTGCTTCTGTCCTAACTGATAAGTAAAGACGGACATATCCATCCTGCCGGCATCATTTTCAGCTGAGCGCGAAATCTGCAGCGAGGAGCTAATAACATTTTTCACATCGATAAAGGAAATGTGTTGATTTAAGTTGAGATGTATCATTTCTGTAAGCTGATGTCCGACAGCCTCAAATTCTCTGCTGCTATATTTTTAATGGATGTAGCTAGGTAGCTAACTACAGTAAATATTTAGGAAGAAGAAATCCCCATTCCTAATTCCACATACTATAAGTTATGTTGTATCTGATCGGTGACTTTTAAACCTAAAAACTTTGAACCTTACGTTTAAAACTCATTGCTGAATTTCCATTAGTAATAAGAAAAAAGGATTTCTTTTTCAGAAATACTTTCTTTATTGCAGTTTTCATCCAAAAAATGTAACACACTAATTTCTGTCTAACTGGTGTGTTGCATCTCCGCGTCTCCTAAAATGACATGAATACACAGCTAATTAGAGAGCTAAAAGGTGCAAAAACCCTGGCATGGTCCTATAAATTGTAGTGGAAAAATCACTTAGTCATATTTTTGTTTGGAACTTTTACTAATTTATGTATCTGCTGAATAACTTTTATAACCAGTGGGCCCTTAAAACCTCATTACAGAACTTCAAAATGACTCTGGCATTGATGAAAAAGAAAGAATTTAGTTCTTTTAGTGGCCTCGAGGTTTCTATCCAAAATGAACATCAGACTAATTAGATCTACTTGGTTTTGGGGCTTTATATTCTTTGATGAATGACATAACTCTTGTTTCATCACTTTTTGTCTCTCCCCATTCATTGCTGGAGAAAGTTAGATTTATGATTAACACAACGGCAAAGACGCTTGACTTCTTTCACCACAACTACCGTTGTGCTTAAATAAAACCCAAACATGAACTCATGTGTACGTCTCCATGTTAATAAGTATGATTTGTGTTGAGGTTTCTCTCGATTATTGATATTTATGGAAGTTCACTGTTGCATTCCTTCAGAGGTCTGCTGTGGATAGCGAGATCCTTTAATGCTCTCTGGAGGATCTTTTGTCTTTCAGTTAACCCCCCCACCCTCCCCGCCGCTGCGCCGGCTT